GGCATCAATTATACTTAATGGTGGAGAGCCAATCTGACCCTAAACAAAACTGTTAGAAAACATTTAAATATGAACTTGTTAAAGTTGGCACAGTTTGGTGATTTACTTTTTTAAAATATCAATCTTTGTTTTACTACATTTTATTAAATAAATACAATTGTTTAAACGCAACTTAGTGCAAATAGAAAATAGCAAATACACTTTAAACTGTAACAATTTGTACTTACAAGAGAAGTGACATTTAATCACCACCTTCTTCCTTCTTCAAATGCTTTGATGTACATTGTCCTGTTCTAAATAAAACAAAATTAAGCTCATGAATTGTTTTTATCTCTGTCTGTTAAAATATTTTTTTCTCAACCTGAAAACAATGCAAGAATTTCACCTTAGAAAAACTAACTTTCAGGTATTGTATCAGAATTTTATGTGATAGACCACAACACATATACAGTGAAAAAAATACACGTTGTTTTTTTAAAGATTAAAGAAAAAAAGAATAGTAAGGTATGCATTTGACTCTAGCGTCCTTGAATCAGTGCTTTGCAGACTGTACTTTCACAGCATTGATCAACAAGCTTTTGTAATTATATTTCTACCATTCTTGCACATCTGGAGAAAAAAGACAGAAATGCTTTACTGGCTTGGGAATATCTGGGAGCAATTTTTTTCAAGTTTTTCAAGGGAATCTGTCTCGGAATTAGGTTAAGACTTTAACTTGGACAGTTCACTTCTAAAATGTGCTTTAATTTAAACTTTTATATTTTAACTGATGTGTGGTAGATGTTGTTCTGTTTAACACTACCATTGTTGCCAGTCTTAATTCTTTTAAACCCTCTAACAGGTTTTCTTCTATTCTTGGCAAGGAGGAAGAAAGCTGCTTTTCATACTGTGTTTTAGCTGTATGATTTTAGCTTTGACTCCTTCCTGGCAAATGTCATAAAGGTTAAAACTGTGCACTCAGGGTTTTTAACTGTATGTTTTTAACATCGAACCTTCGGATGGATATCTTTAAATTAGTTTTTCTAAACCCATAGACACAAAGAGAATAAGTTTTAGGATAGATGATAAAAAATAGTAAAGGTTAAAAAATCATTATGGGTTTTGACTTCTTCTGTCATTCTCCAAAGTATTTTTGATTATTATATTCATGTTTTTTTTTCTTTTGTTTCACAAGATCCTTTCATATTAGGTTTTGACTGATTTTTATAATTAATGTCTTGGTTTGAGTTAAAGTGTAATTATTTAGATGCAAGATCTGGTTAGAGTTACTGTTTAACTATGCTTTGATGTAAAATTGTAATTGAAACACATTTATCAAGATCAGATTATTAAATATCTAATTTAATGGTATTGATGTTTTATTCAAATCTTTTACAGCCTGGTTTCCAATTATTGATAAAAATACTCATAAATTGTGATGCAAGCATAAGATAAGAGAGTACAAATCAGTAACACTTTGTTTTACATGAATAAACTAAGATTGGATTGGGTTGAGGTATGTGGACCCAAATGCAGAGGCAGATGTGAGTTTTTGTAGATCTAATGTGAGGTAAACAAACAACTGAGGCAGTCCAAAAAACAACCCATCCAAAGGCAGGCGAGGGCAACCGAAAGTCTCTGGAGGCAAGGCAGAGTCTCTGGAGGCCGGCCGAGGGGCCCGAGGCGAGGCAGAGTCTCTGGAGGCCAGCCGAGGGGCCGGAGGAGTGGCAGAGTCTCTGGAGGAGGCCCACTCTGATGCAGCGGCCTTGGATGAGGCCGTCTCTGATGCAGCAGTGCTCAGTGATGGGAGTAACGGCGTTGAAAGTAACAGCATTACTAACGCCGCT